AGGATTTTCATTTTCTTTATACTGAGGTGCAATGCATACTACAGACTGTAGTCTTCAATCTTCATCAGTAAGTGCTTCAAGTCATCCTCAGTTTCAGCAAGTAGAGTTGTGTTGTCTGTGTATCACAGGTTGTTAATGAGTCTTCCTCCAACCCTGATGGATGCCACGTTCTTCATATAGTTCAGCTTCTCAGATTATTTGCTCAGCATACAGCTTGAATAAGTATTGTGAAAGGATACAACCCTGACACACTCCCTTGATTTGAAACCATGTAGTATCCCCTCGTTCTGTTTGAATGACAGCCTCTTGGTCTATGTACAAGTTCCTCAAGAATACAGTAAGTGTTCTGGAATTTCCAGTCTTCTTAATGTTATCCATAATTTGCTATGATCCACACAATCTAATGATTTTGCACAGTCAATAAAACATAAGTAAACATCTCGCTAATATTCTTTGCTTTCACTCATGATCCATCTGACATCAACAATGATATGCTTTTGCCTCTTTCCACATCCTCTTCTGAATCCAGCTTGCACCTCTGGAAGTTCTCTGTCAATATACTGCTGCAACTGTCTTTAAATTATCTTCAGTAAGATTTTACTTGCATATGATCCTAATGATATTGTTCAATAATTTCCACATTTTGTTGGATTCCCTTTCTTTGGAATGGATACAAATATGGATCTCTTCTAGTCAGTTGGCCAAGTAGCTGTCTTCCAAATCTCTTGGCATAGCCAAGGAGTGCCTCCAGTGTGGCATCTGTTTGTTGAAACATCTCAATGGGTATTCTGTCAATTACTGGAGTCTTGTTTTTTTTTCCCCCAATTTCTTTAGAGCAGCTTCAACTTCTTCCTTCAACACCATTGGTTCTTGATCATATGCCACCTCTTGAAATGGATGAATATCGACCAATTCTTTTTGGTACAGTGACTCTGTGTATTCCTTCCATCTTCTTTGATCTTCCTGCATCATTCAATATATTGCCCACAGAATCTTCCAATATTGCAACTTGAAGCTTAAATTTTTTCCTCAGCTCTTTCAGCTTGAGAAATGCTGAGCATTTTCTTCCCTTTTGGTTTTGTAACTCCAGGTTTTTGCACATTTCATTATAATAATTGATTTTGTCTTCTCAAGCTGCTCTTTGAAATCTGTTCAGCTCTTTTATCTTGTCATTTGCTTTAGCTACTCTCCATTCAAGGGCAACTTTCAGAGTCTCTTCTGACATCCATTTTGATATTTTCTTCTTTTTCTGTCTTTTTAATGACCTTTTGCTTTCTTCCTGGATGATGTTCTTGATGTCATCCCACAATTCCTCTGGTTTTCAGTCACTGGTGTTCAATGCATCAAATCTATTCTTCAGATGGTCTCCAAATTTAGCAAGGATATAATCAAGGTTATATTTTGGCTCTCATGGACTTCTTTTAATTGTCTTCAACTTGAACTTAAACTTGCATATGAGCAGTTGATGGTCTGTTCCACAGTTAGCTCCTGGCCTTCTTTTGGCTGAAGATGTCAAGGTTCTCCATCACCTCTTGCCACAGATGTAGTCAATCTGATTCCTGTGTACTCTATCTGGTGAAATCTATGTGTATAGCCGCTGTTTGTGTTGTTGAAAAAAGGTATTGCAATGAATGAGTTGTTGGTCTTGCAAAACTCTGTCATGTGATCTCCAGTGTTATTTCTATCACCAAGGCCATATTTTCCAACTGGTGATTCTTCTTTGTTTCCAACTTTTGCATTCCAATCACCAGTGACAATAAACACATCTTGATTGCATGATTGGTCAATTTCAGACTACAGAAGTTGGTAAAAATCTTCAATTTTCTCATCTTTGGCTTTGGTAGTTGGTGCATAAATTTGAATAATAGTATCAACTTGTTATCTTTGTAAGCTGACCTGATTGAATAAGTGTGGTGAAAGGTACAACCCTGACACACCACTTTCCTGATTTTAAACCATATGGTATCCCCTTGCTTTGTTTGAACAACTGCTTCTTGGTCTATGTACAGGTTCCTTGTGAGCACAATTAAGTATTCTGGAATTCCCATTCTTCACAGTGTTATCCATAATTTGTTATGATCCCCACAGTTGAAATATGTTTATATAGTCAATAAAACACAAGTAACATCTTTCTGGTGTTCTTTGCTTTCAGCCAAGATCCATCTGACATTAACAATGAAATCCCTCATTCTATGACCTCTTCTGACTCTAGCTTGAATTTCTGGCAGTTTTCTGTCAATTCAGTGTTGCAACCATTTTTTAATTATTTTCAGGAAAATTTTACTTACTGTGATATTAATGATATTGCTAAATAATTTCCACATTCTGTTGATCACCTTTCTTTGGAATGGGCACAGATATGGATCTCTTCCAGTTAGCTGGCCAGGTAGCTGTCTTCCAAATTTTTTAGTATAAACAGATGAACACCTCCTGCGCTGCAACAGTTTGTTGAAACATCACAATGGGTATTTCATTAATTCCTGGAGCCTTGTTTTTTTTTTTTTTTTTTTTTTTTTTGCCAATGCCTTCAATGTAGCTTGGACTTCTTCCTTCAATACCATTGGTTCTTGATCATATGCTCCCTCCTGAAATGGTTGAACATCAACAATTATTTTTGGCACAGTGACTCTGCATATTCCTTCCATCTTCTTTTGATGCTTCCTGCATCATTCAGTATTTTGCCCACAAAATCCTTCAATATTGCAACTCAAGGTGTGAACTTTTTCTTTAGTTCTTTCAGTTTGAGAACATGCTGAGTGTGTTCATCCCTTTGATTTTACATCTCCAGGTCTTTCCACATTTCATGATAATAACTTTACTTTCTCCTCTTAAGCTTCCTTTAGAAATCTTCTGTTCTTTTACTTCATCATTTCTTCCATTCACTTTAGCTACTCTCTTCTCAAGAGCAGGTTTCATTGTGTCTTCTGACATCCATTTTGATTTTCTCTTCCTTTCCTATCTTTTTAATGACCTTTTGCTTTCTTCATGAATCATGTTCATTATGTTGTCCTACAACTCTGGTCTCTGGTGTTCAATTAAATCTATTCTTCAGAAGGTTTCGAAATTTGGGTGGCATATTTTGGCTTTTCTGGGCTTGTTTAATTTTTTTCATCTTAAAGTTAAATTTGTATATGAGCAATTGATGGTCTGTTCCACAGTCAGCCCCTGGCCTTGTTCTGACTGATAATATTGAGCTTCTCCATGCCTCTTTCCACAGATGCAGTCAATTTGATTCCTGTGTATTCCATCTGGTGAGGTCCACATGTACAATCACCATTTATGTTATTTAAAAAAAGGTATTTACAATGGATAAGTCATTGGTCCTGAAAAATTCTATCATACCATCTCTGCTGTCATTTCTATCACCAAGGCCATATCTTCCAACTACAGACGCTTCTTCCTTGTTTCCAATTTTCACATACCAATCACCAGTAATTGTCAATACATTGTGGTTACATGTTTGGTCAATTTCAGACTGCAGAAGTTGGTAAAAATCTTCATTTTCTTCAACTTTGGCTTCAGTGGTTGGTACATGAATATGAAATAATAGTCGTATTACTGATCTTCCTTATAGGTATATGGATATTATCCTATCACTGACAGCACTGTACCTCAGGATATCTTGAAATATCCTTTTCGATGATAAATTCCCCTTCAATTTGTCATTCCTTGCATAGTAGATCCTATGATTGTCTGATTCAAAATGGCTAACACCAGTCCATTTCAGCTCACTAATGCCTAGGATATTGATCTTTATGTGTTCTATTTTATTTTTGACAACTTCCAGTTTTCCTAGATTCAAACTCCATACATTCCATGTTTCAGTTATTAATGGATATTTACTTCTCATTTTGACTGTGCCACATAAGCAAATGAAGATCCAGAAAGCTTTATTCCATCCACCTCGGATCAAATATACATCTCTTTCCCAACGGTATTTTGAGTGCCTTCAAACCTGAGAGCCTCATCTTCAGGCACTATATCAGACAATGTTCCCCTGTTATCCATAAAGTTTTCAGTGATATATATATATATATATCCACTCCCCCCTCCCCCCAGAAGTGGACCTGGTCAAGTCCTTCCTAGTCTCCCTCAGTCTGGAAGCTCCACTGAAACCTGTCCACCATGGGTGGCCCTGCTGGTATTTGAAATACCCATGGCATAGCTTCCAGCATCACAGCAACACGCAAGCCACCACAGTGTAACAAACTAACGGAGGAGTGGTGGACTATATTCATAGATATATTGATCGCTGCATATGATGTGGAAGAAATATCCTGTCAACCTATACATATTCATTGGTATAATGCTATTCTTCCTCCCACAACTGTTCAGCCTGAGTATATTTTTATGTATCCAAGCACATAACAACAACAACAACAACAAACACAGATCACTGTTATTATTGGTACTGCATGATTGCCTTTAAGGCTCATACCCTTCCCAATGTCTTCCTTTCCTTGCTCATTTTGTGTCTTATTGTATATTGCTTTCCTTCACCAACGTTAACGTGGAATACGGTCTTTTTAAGGGAGGAAGGATTAGAAAACTTGACGTTTACATGTAAATTACACATAATGTTGGCGAGGAAGAAAGAAAAAACAAAAACATCGGATAGCAGAGGATGGTTTCGATCCATCGACCTCTGGGTTATGGGCCCAGCACGCTTCCGCTGCGCCACTCTGCTACCTCAGAACCGGGGATTACAAAATCCATATAGAAAGTAGCTGCAATGTGCTGGAGGGGGGGGGGGGGGGGGGGGGGGGGGAGCCTGGTTCGTCACACAGCGCTATCTAGCGACTGATGTAGAAATCGTCGTCACTGCTGTCAAGTTTGTTTTTATTGGCTGGTTCCGCATATAGCAGGCGTTTTTTAATTGGTTCGTAAACCGGTTTACAGAGTAAACCAATAGCCATAAGCAATGGAGTAAGGCGGGAACCAATCGTGTCGCGTTTTATTGGGACACTCCGGCAAGCGGCCTGTCCAGTTATCGGTACCTCAGAGGAAGGGGGCGGTTGGTGTAGTCTCCATTGTTCAGGATTTAGGGCGCCATGAGGTAAGGGGGCTAGGGTGCTCTAAGTATATTTTGGGTATTCGACTGGAATTATTGGGAAGTCGGAGAAGCTGAGAAGTCCACGTATCTGAGGACTAGCCTAAAACTTGAGAATTTCTGTCCTGGAAGGCGGGCATGGGTCGGAGGCCGGCCAGGGCGGGGATATGGGGGACTGGAATGGGGATGGGTCCTGGGAATGGGGAGGCGGGTTCGACACCTTCGATCCTTATGGGTTTATGTAGTGGTGGTGTGCTTCCAGGAGTAGTACCCCCCCACTTAGACTGTGAAGGCTGGAACATGTATTCATCCTCGATACCAAGTTTTTGACATACAGCATATAACCGATAAATGTTCTAGTATATTAATAAATATTAGAATTGGTGTGTCCCAGAGATGGTGTATTTCTTGTAGGGGCTCATTGTATGGGCCCGGTCATTACCTGGTGTGGAGATTGTGATTCTGTTATCCAGAATGAGGCGGTCGTCGGGGAGGCTGGGCTGCATTTGTAACGGGAAGAAGTGTAAATTTATTTGGAAGGAATGGAGTCGCTTGGCTTCCCAAGGGAGCTTCAGAGCGATGGAGGTAGGTTAGCTTGATATGATGTAGCTGGTAGGATCGAGAGACTTTCCTTTAAGTCAAATGAAAACAAAATCCTTCTGTGCATTTCCAGGGGTGACAGAGGCCGTGGTCGGGGTGGGCGCTTTGGCTCCAGAGGAGGTCCAGGAGGAGGGTGAGTGTTTTTAACATCCCTGCACTGGTTGGTTTCTGTTTCAGTCGTCTAAATAGGAGTCAATAATGTTACCTGCTTTTTGGAGATCCACCTGTGGTTTAGCAACACGGCTCTCCTGCTAAATGTTGCGTTTGACCCCACTTTCCTAACAAGGATACCCCCAGGAGACTGTCACTGACTTGAGAACAGACATGTTTTCAGAATTGCTAGTATGTTATATAACCACAAAGATGATCATATTAACCAGTTGTCAGTGGTTGGGTGAAAGGTTGGGGTGCAGTATGAAGTTAGGCATTTACAGCTTTTGAGTGATCATTTTTTTCTCTCAAAGTTTTATATTTTTAGAAAGCTCAGTGCCCTCTGAAGTGCCAAAAGATGTATATCTGTCTTGATTTTAGCCTTCCAACGGATGCTAGAAAACCAAACTTTATGAGAACATAAGTTTTGCTTTGTGCCAGAAATCTCATTTGATTTCTACGTGGTGAATAATTTGGATTGTTTTTCTTGTTTTAGGTTCAGGCCCTTTGTGCCTCATATCCCATTTGATTTCTATTTGGTGAGTACTTTGGGTTAATAAGAGTTTCTTGGCCATTGGTTACTTGTAGATTGAGAAATGGAGCCCAACATCTCCCTAATGATGAAGTCAAATAGTGGTTAGAGTAGGAAAAGGCATTTATGAATGGAGATGGGGTTTTATATATTGTTTTACATACAAAAACAGTGTCAGCTGGGTGAGAAAATAATTCCTTGAGTACTTCTGGCAGTAATAATGCTCATAATTGTTATTCTGGATAATTGTATTTTTGGCTTATCTGTTAATATATAGGTAATTTATGCTTCAATTATATTTTTTCCAGCTTGTATCCTTGTTTGAACATCTTCAGGAGTAAAAACAACTGTAGAATTTTCTATTTTAAATTTTTTCTCTTGTAGCAACAGAAAAAAATAAGTCTTTACTGTGTTATCATTTTTGATAAATCATATATGTAGTAGTTGTTTATTTCTGGTTCAGTGTGAAATGGCCTTCCCCCGGGTCAAGCCAGCACCTGATGAAACATCCTTCAGTGAAGCCTTGCTGAAGAGAAATCAAGACCTTGCTCCCAATTCTGCTGAACAGGTATGTTCTTTTGGCTTCCTTCCTTTCTGTAAGGTTAGAAAAGTGATTAACTATAGGTGAAATTAAGAATAATACTGTCAGAGCTGAAACTCTACAGAGAGATGAATTGTTCTTATTTTTCATGTGGGTTGAGATAGTGAGCCAGCTGAATATACAAACATATTACATATACAGTTAGATTTTTATTGGGGGAATCTCTGGGATTGAAATTTGTTCTGGCATATTTAAAGCCAGCAGGGTCAAATTGTTTTCAAAGCCCTTATGTTGGTATTGACTCAACTTATATAGAAGGGATTAGGGAAAAATGCTCAAACTCTGAGAAATTGTTTGTAATTTTTCACCTTAGGAAATTTTTGTCTCATGCTGTTTTTCAGGCTTCTATTCTTTCTCTGGTGACAAAAATAAACAATGTGATTGACAATTTGATTGTGGCCCCAGGGACATTCGAAGTGGTGAGTTTTTGTTGATTAGTTCTAGGAAACGACAGTCTTGGTACTGTGGAAGTTTTTTTGGTTTCTATCTGAATTCTTCAGTTGCCTTTTATCCAAATTGAAGTCTGAAATGGGAAAGTACAGTGGAATTCCTTTGTAGTACTGATCTTGGGGATGAGACTCATATCATTGTTATCAACTAGCCATAATTTACCAGTCTTTCATGTAGTTGTTTTTGGGATATGACTTGACGTCTGCTATATCCAAATCTGGGTAATTAAGAAGTTATGTTGTAATAAAAAACCAAACTTACTGCTGTTGAGATGGATCCAACTCATAGCGACCCCTTCTTGGTTTCTGAGGCAGTATCACTACAGAAGTATATTGCCCAACCTTCCTTATGAGGAGCAGTGGCTGGTGGGTTTGAACCACTGAACAGCCTTCTGTTTAGCAGTCAAGTGCCTAAGGCACTAACACCACTAGAGCTCCTTATGTTGTAATGTTGTTGTTGTTAGGTGCCATCGAGTTAGACCCTACTCATAGGGAGCCCCTCCTTGGGTTTCCGAGGTGGTATCACTATGGAAGTAGATTGTCCCATTTTCCCTCCAAGGAGTGGCTGGTGGGTTTGAACCAGCAGCCTTCTGGTTAGCAGTCAGATGCCTTAGGCACTACGCTACCAGAGCTCCTTATGTTGTAATAGAGTTCCTAAAAGAACTAGGGGGCCTTTATTTCTTCTAAAATTTTGTTCTGAAATCCACTTCCCAACAGCAAATTGAAGAAGTCCGACAGGTAGGATCATATAAAAAGGGAACGATGACTACAGGACACAACGTGGCTGACCTGGTGGTAATCCTAAAGATTCTGCCAACATGTGAGTACACATCTCTCTGGCTCTGGGAGCAGAATATAGCATTTGGGTTCAGGGCATTGTAATCTACAAAGCCTCAATTTATTGTGAGAAAGGATGTTGGGAAGACAAATGGGAAATTTGTTTTTTTAAAGTGTGTTGGAATGATGAGAAACAAACTCTGGAGTGTGTGTGAAGAATGTGGGGCCAGTTACTTTAGGGCAGTATTTCTTAACTGGGGCAGTTTTGCTTCCCAGGGATATTTGGTCTGGAGACATTTTTGGTTGTTACAACTGAGGATGGTATTTATTACTGTCATCAAATGACTAGAGGCCAGGGATGCTTGTAAATATCCTATAGTTCTCAGGACAGCCCTGCCTACAACAAAGAATTATCCAGCCCCAAACATCATTAGTGCCACTGATGAGAAACCCTGATGTAGGAAAACGGTTTAGGAAGTGTCCTGTTCTTGAGCCCTCCAGTTTCTGTGTCTCTGCCTTAGCATCTCTTTAAAAGTGTGCAGAATAGCTTAGAGATACTTAGAAAGTCTACTTAGATTTTTTCTTAAAAAATTTTATTGTGGTGAAAATATATATAACATAAACCATCAGATTATCATAACATTTTTTAATTTCCTTTTCTCTTATCTAGTGGAAGCTGTTGCTGCCCTGGGGAACAAAGTTGTGGAAAGCCTAAGAGCACAGGATCCTTCTGAAGGTTTGTGTTTGTTCTTGAAGATGTATTTTAGTGGCTGTAGGAGCCACTGTCATTAAGTACACATTTTAACAAAGTCAATTCAGGCTGTATGGATTTATGTTGGGAAAGGTTTTGACAGGGACCTCAGGTATTCAAAATCCAGTTGATATCTCTTTTAAGCTCTGTATTCTAAATCGATTTAGGATACTTGTTGCTGTTTTGAAAAACCCATCTGTTTCCTCTACTCCCACCCACCCTAGATTTATCCTTTTGGTCATCTAGTGGAAATGTAATTAATAGTTTTTTTTTTTTTCCCTCCAGTTTTGACCATGCTGACCAATGAAACTGGCTTTGAGATCAGTTCTTCTGATGCTACAGTGAAGATTCTCATTACAACAGTGCCACCCAATCTCCGAAAACTAGACCCAGAACTTCACTGTTAGTTCCTTTTTTCCATAGGAAAGTTGGGGGAAATTAAAAATAAGTATAACGTTGCTGTTGAATTTACTTGATTTGTTGCTGTTCTATATGGTACTGTCTGGGAATTGAGGGACCTTAGTTTACCCTGAATGTCACAGTCTTTTTCTGTAATTTAGAGATAGTTTTGTTTGCTAGTGAAATTTTCAGGTAGAATGCACATAAAAGTAGTTTGAGGACTTAACAAACAAAAAAGGAAAAGGATGACGAACTATTAAGGGGGGAGATAGGCATTTGGAAAAAATCATGGGTTCTTGGCATGCTTCTAGAGTTGGTTTGGCGGGGGGAATGGTGATTTTTGGACAGTTTGCTAATCTGAAGAACATGGTATGGTGTAAAGAAGAGCTAAATTAATCTAAACATCTTTCCAACTTTTTGGATAGTAGTAGGACTGGATTGCTTGCTCAGTGATAGAAATTTCATCTTTGCTTATCTCTAGTGGATATCAAGGTGTTACAGAGTGCCTTAGCAGCTATCCGACATGCCCGCTGGTTTGAGGAAAATGCTTCTCAATCCACGTGAGTCCCTTCCTGAATATTTAAGATTACCTAATGCCCCTCACTGCTGTGAAAAACAGGATACCCACTTCTTCATCTAGCAGAGCTATTTTGACTTGATCTGCCTAGATTGATTTTTTTTTTTCCTAAGGAACTTTAGACTGATACAAGAGCACATACAGTTCTAGAAATGGTGTAGTCAGCTTCTGTTCTACCTCTGGTGTGGAGGTACATGATTTAATTACTTTTAATTTCTGGATTTCTTTTACCTTCAGAGTTAAAGTTCTCATTAGACTGCTGAAAGACTTGAGGATTCGTTTTCCTGGCTTTGAACCTCTCACACCTTGGATTCTTGACCTACTGGTAAGTCAGGAAAGGCAGTTAAAGTTCTTAACCATCTCTATGTAACAGTAATTAACTATGAAACCTACCAGAATCTGAAATTGAGTGACGCTTAAGCTTAAAAGAAATCTCATTGGAGGACAAGTAATCTAGTAACAGTTCAGTTTGCTACTTCATTAGGTTTTTGGAGTATTAAACTAAATGAGTAGTTACTGAATTAACTGTTCCTTTGTCTTTTTGATGACTATTGTCATTTCATTAAGGAGTTTAGGTGGTGCTGTAGTTAAAACATTGGGCTGCTAACCATAAGGTTGTCGGTTCAAATGCACTAGCTGCTCTGTAGGAGAAAGATGAGGCAGTCTGCTCCTGTAAAGATATACAGCCTTAAAAGTTCTGTGGCGTTTCTACTCTACCCTGCCCTATAGGGTCGCTATGAGTTGGAATTGAGTCGATGGCAGTGGGTTGGGTTTGGTCTGGCCATTTCATTATAGGCAGTTCCCAGGTTAAAGAACACGATCAATTTCTGTTTAAGAATTTGTAGGTCAGTCAGAAAAAGTGTATGGTTCTTACTAGCCTTACTTTAGTGCAAGAAAAGGCTCAAAGCCTTTTCAGTCACTGAAAAGCTGCATATGCAGCAAGTGAAGGTGACTGTGATGAAGAATTTGTTGAAAGTAGAGGTTCGTTCAGTAGCTTTAAAGTGAAAGCATATATACCTAACATTACAGCAGGGCTTCAAAATTGGTGGTGCCCTGCTTGAAGATGGCAGTCATCCTCACTGCTCCAAACGTGTGGATCTTCACAGTCCTGCCACTAATACGATGGGGTTCCCACATAAATGGGTCACACATTAGGTTTCTGGAAGGGCTCACTAGGCCTCTTCTGAGTCTCCCATTCTACCAGTTCAACCCATAATTTTTCCTGTTCTGGTTACCATGATGAATCACCCAAATTGTAAAAACTCCAGTCTGTTCCTTTTGCTTCACTGGCCAGGACAGAACTGATTTGAAGCCTTGCATTAAAGAGCTCTGGTAGCGTAGTGCCTAAGGCACTTGACTGCTAACCAGAAGGCTGGCGGTTCAAACCCATCAGCCACTCCTCGGAAGGAAGATGGGGCAATCTACTCTGGTAGTGATACTGCCTCGGAAACCCAAGGAGGGGTCGCTATGAGTCGGGTCTGACTCAATGGCACATAACAACAATAACATTAAAGGGCAAGTAGGAATTGTCAGTAACTTGGATATTTGCAGCCTAAGGACTTGCCTGTATTGTGATATTAGAAAATTATTACTCAATGAACAGCCATTTCAGAATTGCCTCTTAACGTGAAAATTGTGACTAATGACCAGATTTCCTCATGGTGACTTAAAAGTTTTCATTTGAAGACAGAATTGCAACTTTTTGGTGGCATACCAGATTTTTTTTTTTCCCCAGGGGCACTATGCTGTGATGAATAATCCCACCAGACAGCCTTTGGCTCTCAATGTGGCATACAGGTAGACCCTGCCTCTGGATTTGGGCTGATTGTATGTTGTTTTGTGCCTGCCTTTAATACCACTCATGTTTTTTCAGGCGTTGCTTACAGATTCTGGCTGCAGGACTGTTCCTTCCAGGGTCAGTGGGTATCACTGACCCCTGTGAGAGTGGCAACTTCAGAGTACACACAGTCATGACCCTGGAACAGCAGGTATTGGGACTGCTGTTAAATGGTCTTTTCTGCTTTAGTCTTAAATACTCCTGGTCAGAAAGCAAAAGGGAACGTGGTCTTTAGAGGTCAGGGTACTAGGGTTCCTCAAAGACTTTGGTCTTGAGAGTAAAAATCATTTTCATAAGGTACTTTGATTCTCCCTGAAAGTTTACCCTCACTTTTTGCTTTTCTTCAGGATATGGTCTGCTACACAGCTCAGACTTTGGTCCGAATCCTCTCACACGGAGGCTTCAGGAAGATCCTTGGTCAGGAGGGTGATGCGAGCTGTGAGTAACCAGCTCCTTACAGTCTCTTGTCTACAAAGCTATATAGTACTCTTAATATTTCATGTAAATGATGACTTATATACTGGATTTCTTGTCTGAAATCACTTTTTTTTTTTTTTTTTTCAGATCTTGCTTCTGAAATATCTACCTGGGATGGAGTGATAGTGACACCTTCAGAGAAAGCTTATGAGAAACCACCAGAGAAAAAGGAAGGAGAAGAAGAGGAAGAGAATACAGAAGAACCACCTCAAGGAGAGGAAGAGGAAAGCATGGAGACTCAAGAGTGACCTTCTCTCTCTCCATCCCCTTTTCTATTCAAGGGGAAGACTTGGAGCCTAAGCTAACTGCTATTGGGCATTACGTGATGGCATTTCTGTGGGATAGGGGAGATGGCAAAAGGAAACTAAACTCTATAGCAAGAAGTGTCATTGTACTGGGTTCTGATACTGGCTTAGCAGCCTGAATCTCCCACTTAACAACTGTGCCATCCATCCATAGTGAGCAGGATACCAACTTTTCCAATTAAATCTAGAATCCCCAACTCCTGGAAACTTTTCAACCAGTACTTTGTTGTTGAAATGTTGTGAACTGTTAGTGTCTGGAAATTTTTTTCTAAGAAAAATGATTAAAATACTTCCTGGTAGGGCTCTTGGTCTTGCTTTTCCTTGCCAACTGATAGCCTTCTTCACCTTCCTTTTGCTGCCTATACTTTTTTCACTGAAAATTAGTCGTATAGGCTTTTAAATTGTTGACACCAAATCATAATTGGAAACTTTGAATTAAAATACAATCAACTCTCGGAAGCTTTTCCAATACCAGAGTAATTTAGAATACTGTTGAAGCATTTATTGAACTAAATGGTTCCAGCAATACTGCTACTAAATCAAGCCAGTGCAATCAATAATAGAGTGGACAGGCGTCATATCATTTACCATGACTTTGCCTGCCCTCCTCCAAATCCTCAGTGTAAACAAAGGAAAATGAGAAGTCACAGGTAGAGTACATGCTGCCCAGGCCCCATAACCAGAGGAAGCCCCATCTTTGTTAACTAGGCTGAAGAAGGAAGGATGTGGGTCTTGAGTATGTAGTCTTAAAAAATACAGAAGCCTCAACACATTCTTGGAAGGAAGCAAGAGCCGTGGTAAGGCTTAAGTCCTTTGAGATCTTGAGTCTTATACACCAGTTTCTTGGGGTTCCCACATAAATGGGTCAGATTTTTAAGTGCTTCAAATACAAACCATAAGACTGCTCTTGCATGGTCTACAGGGATTAAGTGTCTCCTGGAATCTTCTCATGATGGCTGAAACAAGGTAGCTACGGAACAGTACTTGTGATGTTCTGAGGCCATGAGCACCTTTTGGCCTGTGTTACTTGCTTGGGGAACCAGGAGGGTAAACTCCCGAATCCAGCATTGCTCTCCTCCGGGCTGTTTCCTTGGCAACACTGTGGTTTAGCCGCCTCAGCCTCTCCTATAAAACACAATTTGGAGTCTAGTAACTGCTCTCTGAAAGGGTTTAGAGGTCACAGTCAAGTAGGTGCTAAAAAGTATTTCAGGCTAGGTCTGTCTCTAAAGTGTTCAAAGATAGAAGAAGGTAGCAGTGCAATCTAGGTACTGAAAAAAACTGACTTCTATTATTGGCTGACAACTAGTTGACGACAATCCTTTCCCCAGATTTAAAAAATCATGGTGACTTCCATTGTGCGGAGGACTTTATGACACCTTTTGAAAACCAAATACTCTTGAGCACTTGCAAAGCAAAGATCACTGTTGGTAGCATTCTTTTACCTGGGCGTTCTGTAGAATGTTGTTGACCAAGACAACTCGTCGTCGGGCATTAAGTAGCTTCTTCACGTAGGGGTCAAGATCTAGAGCCACCTTCTGGTCCTCATTGATGCGGCACAGTTCTGGGGATGGAAGTAAGATGCAACTAAACACCTCGTGGCTCATGTTCTCAGGGAAGGGAGGCTAATGGGATGGAAAACACTTGCGCACACAATTGCCACCAAAGACCTAAGACATCCCTGGAAGGAGTCCATTAGCAGCCCTGATGTACTGGAACCAAGTGAGAAACCTAGCGTAGAGGCTGGCAAAACAATGTCCTGAAAGTGTTCTTTATACTATAAGCCCTATAGTATTCAGACTACAGGAGGATGCTCACTTACCTGTAGCTAGGTTGTCAATTTGTTCCCGGAGTTCTACCTGACTCTCTCTGCAAAGAGAAGGCCCACACAGGCAACAAATGAGCTCATGAAATTAATTCCTCTACGGGATTCTCAAGTGCTGAGAGAAACGAACCTCAAGTTAACCTTCCACCTGCGGTCTTCTGCCTGTTCAGTCCTGCCTCAAATCAATTTCCCAAATTAATTCTTGCTCCCACCGGAACTGCAGCTAGACTCCATCTTGGCTCCTCCCTTTCTGGGCCCCGCCCCTACAAACCCAGTTAAAGAGGCCCGCCCACCCTCTCGGGCACCTGACTGCATGGACGTGAGAGTCGAGCTGCTGCACTGCAGGTTGCAGAAACTCGAGGAGCCCCTCGGCGAAGAGGTCGCGGCCTGCAGGCCCCGCCACTGGGGTTCCTGCACCGGACACAGCTGCGGAACCAGCCCCAGCCATCACGAACTATCTTACGCCCGGAACCTGCCGCAAGGGCAGCCGGGAACTGAAGCTCACCCGAAGTCCGCCGCGAGGGGGCGCCCAGGAAATGCCGTCTCTCAGGAAACTAGGGTTCCTGGGAAATGGAGTCTTTGGTGCGAGCAGGGCCGGGTAAACAACCGGGCCCTAGTGTTCCCTAGGTTCTTTGTAAGCCCTGCTTGGAAATCTTAGTATCCAGCCTGGAAGAGTTGGAGAAAGGAATAATTTGGAAGGAGGGAGGGAGCGGGTTAGTATTTCTTATAAAGGTGACAAATACCAATCTGTTGTCCATAGTCTTCCCATGTTAACTTTATAAAATAGATTATATTCATAGTGTATTTTCATATTCCTAAACTAGAAGTTCTGGTAGTGTAGTGATTAAGGCACTTGACTGCTAACCAAAAGGCTGGCGGTTCAAACCCACCAGCCACTCCTTGGAAGGGAGGCTGGGCAATCTACTTCCGTAGTGATAACACCTGGGAAACCCAAGGGACACTTGCTATGAGTCTGGTCTGACTCTATGGCACATAACAACAATAACAAAAATGTATATATACATACTTTTCTTTTTGTGTTTTGGATGTAAGTTGACAGAACAAATTCATTTTCCACACAACAGGTGATACACATTTTATTTCATACAGAGATTGCAATTCCTATAATGTAACAGCTCTCTTCCCGTTTCCTCCCTGTGGTTCTTTTCTATGTGTCTTTCTTTCCTATACATTCCTGCCCTATGAGCCACCTCCCTGTGCAAATACTGCCGTTCTGATCTCCCATGGTTGATTGTTCTAAGGAGTTTAAGTACCTGGTGTAAATGTTTACCTTATATGCCTGTCTTTTGGCTTGAAGCCATGGGAGTGAGTTCAATTCTAGGCCTGAAAGGTGATTAGGGGTTGTAATCTTGGGGGTTTCACCAGTCTCTACCAGACTAGTAAGCCTGGTCTTTTTTATGATCTTGAGTTTTGTTCCACATTTTTCTCCCACTCTATCCAGGATCTCCTATTTTTATCTCTTTCCGAGTGCTTGACAGTGGTAGCTGGGCATCATCTAGTTCTTCTGGTCTCAGAAGGCTGTGGTTCGCATATCCACTAGTTCCTTGGACTAATTTTTTCCATATATCTTTGATTTTCTTCTTTCTTCTTTGCTCCAGACAAGGAGAGATCAATTCTTACATCTTAGATAGCCACTTGTAAGCTTTTAAGACCCTATTCACTACTCACCAAAGTAGGATATACAAAAAAAAAAAAAAAAAAATGCACCACTGTAGAGTCGGATCTGACTCACAGCAACCCCTCCTTGGGTTTCTGAGGCAGTATCAGGCACTTGACTGCTAACCAAAAGGCTTGGCGGTTCAAATCCACCAGCCACTCCTCGGAAGGAAGGTTGGACAGTCTACTTCTGTAGTGATACTGCTTCAGAAACCCAAGGAGGGGTCGCTATGAGTTGGGTCCGACTCGACTCGCACACAACAACAACAACAACATCACTATGGAAGCAGATTGCCCAACCTTCTTTCCGAGGAGTGGCTGGTGGGTGTGAACCACCAGTCTTCTGGTTAGCGGTCAAATGCCTTAGGCACTACACCACCAGAGCTCCTAAGTAGGATATAGAATGATGTTTTTGTATAATATGTCATGCCAGTTGAGCTTGATGATGCCCTCAACTGTGGTCCCGAGCCCATAGGTGCAGTGATTCATGCCTTCAGGGTGTTTAGCTGTAGCTAAGAAGTTATCATAACTTTGCCCTGTTAATGTTATAATTTATATAAATTATATAATTTATATATATATATATATATATATTTCAGATGCCACTGAACCATGGTGGACAGGTTTCAGTGAATCTTCCAAGCTGAGATAGGCTCAGAAGAAGAATGGGGTCATCTACTTCTCAAAAAATTGGCCAGTAAAAACTATATGAGTAACAGTGAAACACTGTCTGATGCTGTGGACATTGTGATATAGTGCCAGAAGATGAGCTGCTCCAGTTAGAAGGCAGTCGAAATATGACCGGGAAAGAGCTTCTTCCTAAGTGGAACAGGTATGTACGAAGTATGAATCTAGGAAAATTGGAAGTTGTTAGATATGAAATGGAATGCATAAAGATCGATATCCAAGGCATTAGGGAGCTGAAATGGGCTGGTATTGGCCATTTTGAATCAGACAATCATGATTTACTATGCTTAGAATGACAAATTGAAAAGGAATGATGTCACATTCACCATCACAAAGAATGTTTTAAGATCTATCCTGAAGTAAAATGCTATCAGTGATAGGATAATATCCTTATGACTACAAGGAAAACTAGTTAATACTACTATTATTCAACTTTATGCACTAACTCTTAAAGCCAAAGATTAAGAAACTGAAGATTTTTACCAACTTCTGTCGTCTGAAATTGACCAAACATACAATCAAGATGTATTGATGATTACTGGTGACTGGAATGCAAAAGTTGGAAACAAAGGAAAATCATCAGTAGTTGGAAAACATGGCCTTGGTGATAGAAATGATACCAGAGACTGTATGATAGAATTGTGCAAGATTAATGACTTATTCCCATCTCCCATGTATGTCTACTTCTGTAGTGATACCACCTCAGAAACCCAAGGAGGGGTCACTATGAGTCAGCCAACTCGACAGCAGTGAGTTTGGTTTTGGTTTTCTTCTACATACATACAAAGATATATATATATATATCTTTTTATTTCTGAATAACATTCTGTTGTATAAACATATCACAATTTGTTTATCCATTCTCCTTTTGATGAAATCAGGACTGTAAACAGGCTGAGACATATGCAAACACTTCTGAATTGTTTCCATTTGGAGCCATATGAATAAAGCTGCTATGAAACATTTTTGTAAAGGAATTTTTGTGGTCCTAAATTTTTCATTTAGGAGCTCTGGTAGCCTAGTGCCCGAGGCATTTGACTGCTAACCAGAAGGCTGGCAGTTTAAACCCACCAGCCACTCCTTGGGAGGAATATTGGGCAGTCTACTTTTGTAGAGATACCACCTTGGAAACCCAAGATGGGGTCACTATGAGTCGGAACTGACTCGATGGCAGTGAGGTTTCTTTCTTTTTTTTTTTTTTTTTAATGACTTATTCATTGCAAATACCTTTTTTCCACAACATAAACAGCAGCTATACATGTGCACCTCACCAGATGGAATACACAGGAATTGGACTACATCTGTGGAAAGAGGCGATGGAGAAACTCATTATCTTCAGCCAAAACAAGGACAGGCGCTGACTGTGGAACAGAACATCAATTGCTTATATGCAAGTTCAAGTTGAAGGTGAAGGAAATTAAAATAAGTCCATGAGAGCCAAAATATGACCTTGATTATATCCCACCTGCATTTAGAGACCATCTGAAGAAAAGTTTCACACATTGAACACCCATGACTGAAGACAAGATGAGTTGTGGGATGACATCAAAACCATCATCCATGAAGAAAGCAAATGGTCATTGAAAAGACAAGAAAGACTACTGAGACTATGGCCCCTAGCTGCCCTTCAGGTCTAGAACTGAACGCACTCCTGTGGCTTCCAGCCAAACAAAAAACAGGCGTATGAGGTGAACATTTACACTAGGTAGATACATTCCCTGGAGAGAACAGTCATGGGAGAATAGAAGGGCTGTGTATGCACAGGGAGACAGCTCAGGGGGCAGGAGTGCCTGGAGGGAAGGACTCAGGGAAGAGGTAACTATGGGAAGGAAGTGGGAGGGGAGCTGTTGCATTGTGGGGAATTATAGTCAATGTCATGAGACAAAGTGTATGTGAACTGCTGTGTGGAAAGTGAATTTGCTCTGTAAATTTTCACCCAGATCACAATTAAAAAAAAAAAGACAAGAAAGAAAGAAAAGACCAAAATGGATTCCAGAAAAGACTCTGAAATTTGTTCTTGAACAGAGAGTAGCTAAAGCAAATGGAAGAAATTTCAAAATAAGAGCTGAACAGAAGATTCCAAAGAACAGCTCAAGAAAACAAAAGTCTTTTATTACAATGAAATGTGAAAAGACCTAGAGTTAGAAAACCAAAAGGGAAGAACATGCTTGGCAACTCTCAAGCTGAAAGAATTGAAGAAAAAATTCAAGCCTTGAGTTGCAATATTGAAAGATTCTGTGAGCAAAATATTGAACGATGCAGGAAGCATCAAAAGAAGATGGAAGAAATACAGTCACTTTAGCAAAAAGAATCAACGTTCAACTATTGCAGGAGATGGCATATGATCAAGAACCATTGGCATTGAAGGAAGAATTTGAAGCTGCACTGAAGGAATTGGTGAAAAACAGCCTCCAGGAATTGACGGAACACCCATTGAGATGTTTCAAGAGACAGACATAGCACTGAAAGGTGCTTACTCGTTTATGCCAAGAAATTTGGAAGACAGTTATCTGGCCAACCAACTGGAAGAGATTGTTATTTGTGCCCATTGCAAAGAAAGGTGATCCAACAGAATGTAGAAATTATCTAATAATATCATTAATATCACACACAAGTAAAATTCTGCTGAAAATAATTCAGAAACAGTGGCAGCAGCATATTGACAGGGAATTTCCAGAAATTCAAGCTGGATTCAAAAGAGGACATGGAATGAGGGATATCATTGCTGATGTCATATGGATCTTGGCTGAATGCAAAGAATACCACAAAGAGGTTTACTCGTGTTTTATTGATTATGTGAAGGCATTTGACTGTGTGGATCATAACAAATTATGGATAACATTGTGAAGAATGGGAATTCCAGAACACTTAATTGTGCTCATGAGGAACTTGTACATAGATCAGGAGGCTGTCATTCAAATAGAACAACGGAATGCTGCATGGTTTAAAATCAGGAAGAGTATGCATCAGGATTGTATCATTTCACCATACTTACTCAATCTGTATGGTGAGCAAATAATCTGAGAAGCTGGACTACATGAAGAAGAATGCAGCATCAGGATTGGAGGAAAAACCATTAACAACCTGCGATATGCAGATGATGCAACCTTGCTTGCTGAAAGTGAAGATGACTTGAAGCACTTATTGATGAAGATCAAAGACTATAG